TGTAAGGCGAACAGTGTGGGCGCTAGAACGCACCCTTGTTTCACTCCACAGGTGACGGGGAAGAAATCAGACTGTTCACCGTCTACAGAGACGCAGCACTGCATATCGTCATGCAGGAGTCTCAGGAGGTGCACAAAATTCTTCGTGCACCCTAGTTTTCCTAGCACCATCCAGAGAGCTTCAGGAGGTACACTGTCAAACGCTTTCTCTAGGTCAACAAAGCAGAGGTACAACTGATGATCTTGTTCTCTGCTTTTTTCCTGCAGTTGACGAACCTACCGATGACAATAGCTTCACATGTGCCTCAGTCAGGTCGCCTTTCCGGGGACCAATAATAACGAAATACCACGGTATGAGTTGCAGTCAGAACGGTCACCTTTGTTCTTGTAGAGGCACTAATGCGAGACACTTTAAAATCATTCGGGACTCGCTCCTCCTCCCACATTCGAACAAAAAGTTTCCAAATCAACGATTACAGCTCCGCACCACCATATTTAAGTATTTCACCTGGTACAAGTAAGGTCAATGCCAACCGCCCGTTTATTATGCTGCTGTCTGATGGCAGTAACAACCTCATCACACGACAGGGGCTCGTCTAGCTCGGTGGCTAGGGGGAGTTAAATACATTGAACTCAACACAGATGACGTTGTCTGAGGATTTGAATAAAAAACAAGCAGCTTTAAGATAAAAATAAATTTTGACGTAATAAATAACATACAAAATACTATTTTTTAACTTTATTTTCATTGAAACATACTTATTATCACTAACTTTTTACGTTGAAAAGACATTTTTGAAAACTTCCTCGCGAGGAAACTTTCAAGTAACTTTCGGGTAAATTACCTGAAAATTACCTCGAAACTTTCAATGTTTCGGAAACTTTCAGAAATTTTCATCTCTAGTTCCAATCGATACCTACTCTTTTTTACATGTCCGGTTTTCCTTTTTTCCTTCACACCCGGTTTTCCCCGTATCGTCTGCGGTCTACCCGACACGGTCTGAATAAGGAGGGTGGACCGGATAACCGGCAGGAAAGGACCGAAACACCGGAACCCTTGAGGTGCCCATTCTTTGTGGCTTTTTCTATTTTGGGAAAACGTAGCGAGGTTATTGTACAAAGACGTTATGACTATACGTAATTTTACAAAACTTACTTAATTTTTTAACAGGAAATATAACTTGAGTAATGAGAAATAAGTATATATTTCTTGGGCAAAAACAGTTCGGCCTGAAAGGCTGATTCACACTTTGAAATATTTTGCAGCTATTATTATTTATTTATTAAACTTTATTGCACAGAAAGTACAAAGGGCGGGCCTGATGCCACGCGGCATTCAAAGCGGGTGCCCTGATATAAAAAAAAATAAATAAACATACATAGCTATTATACAGCATGAAGGAGGTACTCTGTTGATGGCCAGTATTTTAAAAATTTCGATATAAAAGCATCACGCGAGAACTAGTGGATTGGCAAACAAACCGACATGAAGTGTTTTTGAATATTGAACAACTTCACTGCAGCCTTTTTTGTTGTGAATCAAACCCTTTGTAGACACACCAGACAGGAATATATTTCGTCGATTGTATTGATTGTAAAGAAAATATTTTTAAGCTCTGCGTTGACTTCAGCAAAATATGTCGTACTTACATCATATATATATCGATGTTACATTTTTATCTATTTACGTAAATATACGAAAGTATACTTTCTGTAAAACAAAAGACGCACAGTCCACTCCGCCGGAAGACCCTTTCACCGCAAAATATTACTTTCTCTCTCCTGCGCCTCATTAAAAGTTTTCTCTATTTTCGTTCACACTCGAGTTCGGTTTATAGACGCCATTTTTGTTTTTACAATATTCCTTGTTTAAAAACATTTCTCAAAGGATCTGCTTTGCGTTACTTTATTTTTTTGTTTCCGTGCGTTTTGAAAGAGGTTTACGTAAAATTGTTTATTAGAGTTATCGGGACAATGAATATTCCTGGAAATAGAAAAATGTTTAGTTTACTGTAGTTTTTATTTCTCTCACATAACAGGTTCTAAAAATCAATTACAATGGGCGTTTTTTGGAGAAACTAAACCGCAATATGGCGTTGTACGCTGCCATAGACTAAAAGGGAATAAATGTGAAAATTTGACAGCTGATCCCTTTAAGTCTATGGAGGCGTACAACGCCATCTCGTGAATTAGGTTCTCCAAAAAACGCCCATTATTAGAATAATTTGTCCTCTATAATGTGATCGTCAAGATATGAGATTTTCCTTAATTGTTGGAAAATTCTCCCACTTTGAAAGAAGAACGTTTTTGTAATACAAGACTTATTTGTTGCTACTTCAGTCTAAAAATACTTGTATCATATTTTTTATCTTTAAAAAGAAAACTAATTCTACAGCTTTAAATTCACAAACGCTCCTTCAAGTGGTGTTTGACAACAAAACAAAGAATAATCAAATAGAGGCGCCAATTTGTAACTACAAAAGGCCCCCACGATCTGCATACTCATTCGACAGACCGCAAAGAACACACAACTAATTCGATAATAGCGTGATTCGATTACCTTTGTGACGTCATTGTACGTCACTTCCATTAGTACGGGCAAAGAATATAAATTGGGTAGGTTCAGAAGAGTCAGTAGCAAAAATACTAACCATGCCGCAAAAAATGAGGTAAACATGGTTCCCATTGCGTAAGGAATGGTTCGATAGTATTTCTATTGTCATCGTCATCATGAACAGTGGGAAACCTTAAAGGTGGGAGATGTCTATTCCACAGACCGCGAAAAAGTCGTAAAAGATTGCATACAAAATTTAAATTTTTGTTCGTAGCTTGTTTGCATGCAGTGGCTACAGCATGACAGGCAAAAATTATAAATGTAAGTTTTCAAAACGGTAAGAGTGAGCCTTCTGCCAACCTCTTTATTTTGAGTTTCTCTTAAAATTAAAATATTGTAGTCCATGTGTCCATGTAATAAGAACTACAGTACACAATGTGACACGCTTGATGCACTTTTTAATCCGCGCTCCAGACATGTGGCGAGTAGGGGTGCGACAAATTAGATTATCGTTTGAAGGGCTATGGATTTGATTTGCTTTTTAAGGGTCTATTGAAAGTTTTGTTATTGTGCTGGTTTTGGTTTATTATTTACGTTTTTGTTTAGAATCGTCGCAATTTGCTACTATAGGTATTAATACATTTTATTTTTAAGGTAAGGGGTGCAGCAGTTTAGTAAATGTCTATCAAAATAATATCTTTCAACACTCAAAAAAATACTTAAGTACCGAATGATTTTTAAATGCAATAGGTATTTATAAAATTAGTCTACAGCAATCTGAACATAATTTAAGAGATGTTGGAGCAAAATCTTGATATTCAAAGTTTAAGTCGAAATAATTTCACAACTGGCGCCCAATTTGGGACTCCGTCGTCCGCCCTATTACATAGCCCTTTCACCAATTGCAAAAGCTCTCATGTCCCTATTCAACAAGTATTACGAGACATTCGTTTCAATCAATACGAATATAACTACCCACTTCCTAAATCACCCAATCAACGTTCCTACACTCGTCAGCGATTCCCTATTCCATAGTATTGCACCTCTAAGCAATATTGGTCCAATCGCCCCTAGATTGCGGCATTGTATGGCATTGTATGGGCTGGGGGCTGAGATATGGGCAGTGGTCACAGTAGGTATATCTATAGGGTTATAGCGGGGAGGTTAGCGTCTTTATCTTTGCACATTGAGATAGAAAACTGAAAAGCTTAAAGGTACTTCTTGACCTTCTGATCAAAGGAAGAGATTGTGCCAAGCGGTGAAATGTAAATAGCGACGGTTCCCAACATTTTTGAGCACTAAGTCAAGAAGTACCTACTTTCTTGCCGATTTTTAGGTGGACGTGAAAATTGTGACTATTTTTGTCGCTTACCTCCCAGCTATAAAGGTGTTTTCGCGAAGCTGCGGCGTACATCTGTTTCCGACCATTTGGATTCCACTACTGCTTGGACGTTTGCGCTGAAATATGGGAAACGGTCACTGCTAAAGAAGTTTCAGAGATGCCATGGAGTTGCGTTGTGCGTCTGCATGAGTTCCTGAACGTTCATATCAAGATTCATTACTGCTATAGTCTATACGTACTGTGTCTGTGTGGACTGAGATATGGGCATCGGTGGAGTAACATACGGTAAGAGGCTTGGCCCAAATTGGAGGCAAATTGGAACCCATCCGGCTCTTGATTGGTCAGACGATGTAAGAGTAAAGTATCTTACGTCGATTCAGCTACCTGCCTAGGAAACCGTTTTGAAATTTCCATTGTAGTCAAAGTGCCTCTGTAAGGTCTTCCATACTAAGTCGGATCGTTCAGGGCAAGCACACTATTGTTAACTTTCAAAACAACCTTGTCAAGATAATAAGATATTTGATAATTAACAAGATATTTGCCTTACTTGGCAGGCAGATCGGCAAGCGCAGAGCAAGATGTTGTTGAAATCAAACGGATTTAGCCCATTACCGATCCATGTAATGCAATGCGACTTTATAAATAAGTAATCATTAGAAGGTAATAAGTTTTAGAAATTAAACCTATATCAGTCAATACACCTAATGTACTTTCATAAAAATATTTCCTATCAGTCAAGTACCTACCTACTTAAAATACCTACATTTAAAACCGCAACATTTAGTCCTGCTATTCTGTTGGGAGACCACTGTGCGTGCAGTAATTAATTATTAATTAATAGTCGAAAACAATTTACTTTATTTTTTGTTGTAGTTTTTGTCAGGGTAATTTGCACCTCAATTTAAAAAGCATTAGGGCTACGGTACTTAATTTATTTTATGATCCATTTAAAATTATGGTAAAAACTATTTTTTATGATGTTTTAAGGTGCATTAATAAAGGCATTGTGGCGATAAGCGCCTTTTAATGCAGTAAAAACCAAATCAGCTTTTTATGTTAAAACATTTTAACTTATAAATGAAAACAAGAAATTGAAAAAATTACAGGCGCCGACCGGGAATCGATCACAGGGCCAGTAGGGTACCGTCTTACTGCTCTGCCACTGAGCTATCGACACACACGGTCAATCTTTGCCAATTTTTCAATCTCTTGAAGTGACGATCTAGCCACTAGATCTAGTTTTTCTCTACACCTATTTTTGTCATAATTCTTTACTTGTTTTGATGAATTTCATACAATTTCACACATCTTTTGTCTTCTCGCGCGCAAATTATAAGTTTTCCTTCGTTGATTCAAACCATAATGATGAAGCTGTTACATTTTAACTGTTTTCATTTCAGCTTTATCACTGTGCTCTCACATTTTCTAGTTCATCTATCCTGAACAGCGGCTGTTGGCGCGACACACGGAATTGTGTGTCACGCTTGTTCTCCTCATTGTGTGCCCACCATTGTCTTCAGCCACCTATTCATCATCAACTTATAACACCACACACTCAAGCAAAAACCAACCTTTTTCAACTACTTTAGAGTCCACTTTCAAATGCAGTTCTGTAGCTCTAAAACGCACTCGCAGCGAATTTCAGTCCAACACAATGTCCTATCCAGGAAACACTGTGCAATCAAATTTCAACTCAATCCATCTGTGTTAAGGCTGACGTTTAATTATCATTCGTGTTGGATTATGTCGTTTTTGATTGAGACAATGTAAAGCAGACGTTTTACATTGCACCGCAGTCAGAAAGTTATATCCTTCCCCGAATAGTATTTCAACTTTGAACCTTGACTATCAAGTGAGATGGTTGAAATTAGTTTGTGATGTTTCAGCTTTTAAGTTGGTTGCAAATGTTGGTATGTGTAGACTTTGTGATGTGAATTGTGCAGGATAATCGCATGAAACGGTTGAGCCACTTATTATGCCGTTGGATTAAGTTTCATACACATTTGTAGAGAGCGCATAATTGATATGTATAGTCGAGAAGCGTGGACGAGATTTAATATTCTAGTTACGTCAAAGATATTAAACTTCTTTCATTTCCTGCTGAGCCAAGACGCATATTGAAATAATGGCTCATCAAAACTATTTTACTTAGATATCCTTTACAAAATCTAGAAAGAAATAGGAGTCGCAATATTCGACATTTGGCAGGGTTTGGTAGAAAGACATTCAGTCCACAATTATCGCTCTAGCGACATTTGCTTAGGTATAGGTTATTAGATGGTGAACCACGATAACTCGGTCAGGAGACCACAAATGTCCTATGTGATCTACACATTCCCATGTAACGCTGATTAGATTTCGATGTGTTAACAGATTTGTCATGAATAAAAGGCATGGTTCAGTAATCGTGATGGCCATAGTGCGTCTTTTATTTTTTTAGAGTAATAGTAAACTAGGTACTGAGCAAAATTTTAAAAATTACTAGCGACCGCCGGGACTTAAACCCGGGACCGTGGGGTACTGTCCCACCGCTCTGGCAACTGAGCTACGGGCGCCTGGTGGACTCTGGTGAATTTTTTAACCTTTTGATACTCGTCTTAAAGCGACGATTAAGCGACATCTAGTAGTAGTTTTTACAACTAAAAATCCCAATATATTGTGGACAAAAGTCTGCGTAAAATACCAACTTTAAAAAGCCACTTTCATAAAGCTTTGTTTTCAATCCAGCCATGTTTACGCAAATCATAAAAATGATGGCAATAATTCACTCGTTCCCATAAAAAGCGTAAACAAAACGCCCGCATAGCACCCTCCGTACGCTTCGTTACTCCACAATCGCGTCTAGGTACACAATGTAACGTGGCCAGCCGTGCGTCTACTGCATTCTACCTCTACTATGTTAGGTTGTGTTGATTTCAATATTATGGTTTGGTAATCTTTGAAACACTTTTTCAGACACAGCAGTGTGGCTGATGCAGTACCTATACCTACAATCACATAATAAAAAAAGTTTACAGAAGGCTCAGTTTCGCTATTTTCGACCTAACTTACTCCACAATCGCGTCTAGGTACACAATGTAACGTGGGCAGTCGTGCGTCTACTGCATTCTACCTCTACTATGTTAGCTTGTGTTGATTTCAATATCATGCTTTGGTAATCTTTGAATCGTTTTTTCAGGCAAAGATTGTGGCTATTGCACTTCAGTATACCTACAATCACAAAATAAAGAAATTTACAGAAGGCTCACTCTCGTGCGTCTATACCTACTATGCTCACTTACGTAGACGGAAATTGGTATATGAAATATTATACCATATTAATATTTGAATCGTAGGTTTAGGTCCAGCCGTGTAGCTAATTCAGTCTACCTATCATCGGGTCGTTGGAAGACTTGGTGTCCCACTTGAAGAAGAGGCGAGCACAACAAGTCTACCTATCGACATTCAGATAACGACCAGAAAATAAAAAAGTTTATAGAGCGCTCACTTTCCCTATTTTCGACCTAACTTACTTCACAATCGCGTCTACGTACACAATGTAACGCGCCCAGCCGTGCGCGCCCTGCAGTCTACCTACGAATCTGTTAACATAAGCACAAAGTAAGTATTGGCTGGCGCCAATCCAGAGGGCCGGCTTCAAGGAAACGTCGCCATACTCATACAGACATCCACACGCCGTCGTTTACGTGCAATGTCGAACCGCCTAGTAGCGGATGTCAACAGCGTTTGGTGCGGGCGGACGGCAAAATTACGACTTGCAAGTGCCAATATTTTTGTATAGTGTGGATAGTGAACGTTTGATATACTTAATGTAAGTAAAATACCTAAGTATGTTTGCCCGGGTTCGGTATATTAAAATGAAAGTAGCAACCCTAGAGTATAGGCATAAATAATCGGAAGAAGGGGCGAGCTGTCCTTCTGTAAATTCTCTATTTTGTGCAACGAATCTGTTAACATAAGTAGCTCACACTTTTGCCGCATGATTTTGCGTTATTTTGCCAATAAATTCATCATTCGCGACTGTCACGGGCCCTGGCACAAATCTCACGACAGCCGTTTTTTGTGACTGCCTTCTGCATGGGACAGTGCAACACCGTCATAGTGCTTTTACTTGCGGTTTCATGCAACTACTTTCTAAATTTACACTGTCACCGGCAAATGTACGGTAGGTACATATGAAAACTATCTTGGCCTACGTTGGTGATGTGATGATCGGGAAAGATTGCTTTATTTGAAATATTGTGTCAAAAATGTAGTTTGTTTCCGTTATAGCAGGCCTGCGACACTCGCCTATACCTACGGAGTTAAGTACCTACGCCGTCGTGTACCGCGACGGTACACTCGGCCAGAGCCGGATCGCGCTCGCTAGAGTGCCGTCATCCGAATAGGCCATATTTGACGTCTGTCAAACCCATACTAGGAAACATGTCAACAAAGAAAAATAGACCTTATGTCATAGCATTAATATGATTTTGACAGACGTCAAATATGGCCTATTCGGATGACGGCACCATAGTGGAGCGCGCGCGCATCGATACAGTGACGTCATTTCACTTGTGACGCGTTCTTTAACGAGACAGTCGTGCAGGTAGTGGAATAAATTGTTTGTGCTGTGCTTCTTTACGAAATTTAAAACCAATCAATTTATTATGATGATGGGACAAAAAAAGAGTGATTCCAAGTTGTCCTTTTTTACATTACCAAAGGATTGTGCAAGGTAAGAAAAATAATCCGTTGACCGGCACAATACTTTTTGGTATTATTTGTAAGATTTCGTATTTTCGCGACACTTAAGTTTAATAATGTATACTTTCGAGACGGCAAGAAATACATACAACATTATATTAAAGTAAAGTAAAGTAAGTAATTGTAAATTATATTTTTGTTTGTAATTTTTTATTATGACTAAGAATATTCACGACTTTTTGAAAAATATTGTAAATACTTACAATAAACACTATAATATATTCTGTGTAAATAGCTAATATACCTACCAAATCAGTTTAGGATTTTATTTTTCATAGTTATATCCTGAATCCGGCCCTGGCGTTTGAGCTCCCGTGTAGGTAGTCAGAGAACGCAAAGGATTTGTGCTCTTATGCGCGTGCGTGCATTTGAGTTTAATTTAGATAGCGCACGGTGTCTTGGATGTTACAAAAAAAAGTGTAGGCTATTAAAACGGCGGCTTTCTTCAACATCAAAGGAGTGTCGCTTCTGTAGGTACTACTATTATCTATTCTGTGGTTATAGTTAAAGCGATTACTCACACAATGTACGAGAGTCTACAGCGCAGTCTATACTAACTCTTTCTTTGTTTATTTATTTAACCTTTTATTGTACACAAAAACAAATACAGGACAAGTACAAAAATAAAAATGACACAACAGGCACTACTTATTTCTAATAAGAAATTTCTTACAGCAGGCCTACAGAAGTGAGATAGCATTAACGATACGCGGATAAGACGTGCACAATATTACTTAATTACTTAAATATAACCTAATAATACAAAAGAGAGCAAGACATAAATATACTAAATAAATACTTATATCTATTATTATAAAATACTTAAAACATGTATAATATATAATATATATTATATTATAAATAATATATGTATATATATATATATAAATAATATGGATTACTTAACAAGAGAAAGTTATTATGTTGACGAAGTGATGATTTGATATATTGTCCTTTGGTAATATTTGAATCGTTTTTTAGAGTCAGTCGTACGTCTACTACAGTCAAGCTACGGTTACATTAGCTTACTCTAAGATCGCAAGTTGCCTAATTTGTTTCAGTTTGTAGCGTAAGTAGGCCTAGCATGCCAGTCGGCAGAAAGCGAGTTGGCGAATCGCGCCGGTTTGCGAAACGAGCAAGTTGGCTTACTGCTCGTACTCCGTTTGTGCACACATATAATCGCGTCAAAATGCATTTTAGATCTTTAGTGTGATTTATACTAGCCTAATCTTAATTGAGACTCAAAACAATTACGCTCCAAAATCACTGAATTCCAGCTTCATTCTCAAACCGAAACAATACGCACTACCCAAACGCAGCTTTGACGGTGCGCACCTAGCGTCCTTTGGGCACCAATTGCCGATCTCGGCCGCTGATTGGATTAGCCGGTGTCTGGCAGAAGCCACGATACCTCGTCCCAGGAGCCAGCTG